AAAGATAACATATCTGCTCTGCAAACAAAATTCTTACATTAGATCTAAAATTTGTATGTCTAATGCAAAATCCATGATGTTTATATTCAAAATGATCATCATGTAAGAATTCCAGCAATGTAAATTATAGGGCCGGGTAATATGTATGAATTTTATGAGCTAAAACAAATATCTTCAGTAAATAAAAAAAACATACTTCACCCAGACACTATCTGTCAATCAAAATACCCCACCTCTGGCTCCCCCTCTTCCACCTTCCTTGGTCCTCCCTCCTAACCCCCAGCCCCACCTTCCTCCATACCGGAAATGTTTGGGTTAAAACAGAATGTTTACATTTTTGTAATAATAATACCTCTAGACTAAAGTTAGGATATTTATAATTGACATTGCTGGATTCGTTTAAGACCAGGAATATTTTTGAATATACCGTCATATATTTTGCACAAAAACCATATATTTGGTCTGTGTAAACAAAATTCTTACATTTGATCTAAAATTTGTATGATTAATGCAAAGTCCATGATGTTTATATTCAAAATGATCATCATATTGTAAGGATTCCAGCAATGTAAATTATATTTTGACCGGGTAATTTGTATGAATTTTATGAGCTAAATAAAAATATTATACTTCACCTGCGTATATGAGTAGGTGCACCGCGTAAAGTGGGAATTCCGGTTCTGGCGTGGTACCGCATAAATGTAGAAACGTAAAACGAGAACCGCGTTAAGCGGGGTATTACTGTGTGTGTATATATATATATATATATATATATATATACAGGTAGTTCTCTTATATCGCGATAATTGTGTTCTTGTAAAATATCGTTATAGAAAATCGCGTAATAGAAATAACAGGGCTTATGGAGAAAATAGGGTTAGGTGCAGATTACGAAATCGAAAAATTTAGTAGTTAGCCTAACACAAAGGATAGCACAGTCTAAATAAATGTTACATTCATATCTAATAATGAAATCATACAGTAAATTTAACACTTTACCTTGAAAAAATATGTAATGTAACTTGATGGGGGAAAAGGGTGATTTTGAGGTTGATAACATCGAGCTTCTTTCAAGTGTTATATCCTTTCTTTACTATAATCACCGAATTCTTATCATCAGAACGCTTTTGGAGATATTCTTCTTTACCATATTCACAGTTAATACCACAAAATTGGAGAAATAATAAGAAAAATCGCGTTATAGCAAACAAAGCGTTCACGTTATACAAATATTGTTTCAAATTCATAAATCGCGTTAGAACAAATTAGCGTTATCAAAACAGCGTTATAGCAGAACTCATGTATATATATATATATATATATATATATATATATATATATATATATATATATATATATATATATATATATATATATATATATATATATATATATATATATATATATATATATATATATATATTTATGTATACACACACACACACACACACAGTGGTCCCTCGGTTAACGCACGCCTTGGTTAACGAATTACCTTTCATAAGAATCTTCAATTCGGTTAGCGAAAAAAAAATTATTAATGAAATCCTTACGAAAATCACATTTTTTTTTAACATCAGCTGATAAGCTGAGGAGGTACTGAGCTAATTCAGTGATCCCTTCTATGTTTACATTCAAGCTAATCACTATCTTATAAGAATTCCAGCAATGCAAATTAAATTCACCCCGGTCACTTCTATTAAATTTTTTAAGCAAAAAACAAAAACTCAATCTAAAGGACATAAATTAACAATTAAATACTTCACACCACAGGCGCCAACTGTCAAACATGTCACTGTCACCCCTCCCTCCCTACCCCCCACCTTCCTGAGAAACGTTTAGGGAAAAAGACTAGGTTTACAGGTTTAAAAATAAATATTACCTCAGACTAAAGTTAGGATAATATAATTTCCATTGCTGAAATCCTTGCAAGACATGGAATAATTTGAATATAAACTTCATATATTTTGCACAAAAGATAAAATTTTTGCTCTCCCTAATACAATTCTTAAATTAGATCTAAAATTTGTATGTCTAATGCAAATTTTAGCTTGTTTATATTCAAATTAATCACTATCTTATAAGAATTCCAGCAATGTAAATTATATTCTGGCCGGGTAATTTCTATGAATTTTATGAGGTAAACACAAAAATCTCAAATAAACAAACAAACACCAGACACACTGTCACCTCACCTCCCGCTCCCCCCCTGCTTCCCCCCTCTTCCCACTCTTGCTCGCTCGCTCCCTCCCTCCTTGCTGTTCCCAGACAAAAGATTGGTGATTTCTTTATGCTTTAAGGTGTTTATTTTATATAATATCTCAGACTAAAGTTAGGATAATATAATTTGCATTGCTGAAATTCTTGCAAGACAGGGAATAATTTGAATGTGAACTTCATATATTTTGCACAAAAGATAAAATTTTTGCTCTCCTTAATAAAATTCTTAAGCTAGATCTAAAATTTGTATGTCTAATGCAAATTTTAGCTTGTTTATATTCAA